ACAGCGATGTCGGCTCTTTCGAAATCCATCACATTATTCGGAAGGCTGTAAAACTGTGGAATCCTGAGCTGTATATCCGATCCATTCACTCCCGACAACAAACAAACTTAAAATGGCGCATCAATCATCATGGACGATCATCTGGCAGTGTGAACGAAGTCTGGCAGTGTTGCGAGATTTAATATAGCATTAACATTATATGATATTACACAAATTTTGTGTAATATTACACAACCATTTTGGAATGACTTGGTTGCTTCTGATTCTGTGTATTAATTATGTTACTAGTATGTGAATATTACACAGATGCAACGTAATGGACAATGGTAATTTTGTTTCGGTGTAATTTAACGAGCGATGCAATATGACATTCAAATGGATATTATTATACATCTACTTTTCTTGATTACATCCATTTTGTTGTACATCATGTGCATTACGTTTTTTTTTTGCTGTGTAGAGTAAACGCAAACCGTAGTGGATGTTGAAATTGTAATCCTGTTGAGAGAGAGGAACCTTTTCACTATCACAAAGCCAGCCGCGTACAAATAATATGTTGGAAAAACTTACATTGAGAGAAACAAAATTTTACTAGGAGTTCGCCTCTTTATTTATATTTTGCTTTTTGTCAAAACAACACTAGATCACAAAACTTGCTCCTTTGAAGCAAACCAAAGGATGACAGCCCGTTTGGTTACACTTTTTGACAGTTCGTTTGGCTGCTTAAGACAAACGTTGTCCAGCCTATATCCAGTGTCTATAGTTACAACCTGCTTGGGTTGGTGTGATTTGCATTCCGCGTAGTTTGTGCCAGGTGTTGTAGCGAAAGCGGGAAAGGATAATTAATTAACGAGGTGTCCCCGGCAGAGTTGCAGCCCGAACAGAAGTTTCCTTTCCCACCAGCAACCGGCAGATTTGTGTGAATCACTAAATGAGTTGCAAAGCGTAGAGAAAAACAAAATTACGGAACCCATGGATTGGAGGATCAAATTAACATGGTGAGACCCGAGATGGTTTTATGACAGGTGGACAGGAGCTCACGGTCTCCCAGTGTTGGTGAGTTCTTTGCCGTTAATGTCCACGGAAAGTTCACAATTTTGCCATACAGAAATTCAAATCAAAAAATTTTATGTGTGGATTTGGACAGTTTTTTACCTGTTTCATACGACCGGAAGGTGTATGCTGGTCACAAATGCCGTGCCAAACTGATTTCCTACACAATTAATCAACCTTTGATGTGAATTTCACTAATAAACACAAGGAGCATTTCTTATAGCAAAACTGCCATAACAAAATGGGCATAGTTCATTTTAGTAAACAAAATAACACTTCTTCCTACTGTGTCACTTTTATATTACCCGCCTAGGGTGAGACCAGTCCAAATACTATTAACAATTTAAAAAAAAAAACAAACTAAATACGTGCCAGGATTCAAAAGAGCATTTTGAAACTGGAAATGTGTGTGTGTAATACTAATGTCCAATTGATAGATGTAATATATACATGCGGGGCTTATTGTAAGCGAAAGTAACCTCGGAATGGGCGTGACTCTACAGACATTTTGAAATGGGTTGCTGTATCTGCAAAGAGCTATCACTTTCTAACTCCCGGACTAAAGCAGTCTACAATGACCATTAATGCAACATTGTAGAGAGATACCCGCATGAACAAAAACCATTCTTATAATGGTTTCAACCATTTTTGAACTTTACATTATATGCTTACCATAGTTTTTAAAGTTATGAAATGTTTCCAATTTTGATTTTCATTTTGAAGAACCATTATTTACAGTTGCAGAACTTTAATTTTTGATATAACTATTGTAATTGAGGTTTTGCTATGCTTTCTTTCAAACCATACGACATAAACTTACAGTTTTAAGAATGGTTAGGCTATATTCGGCTATGATTCGATTTTTTAGTGATGGAAAGGAAAAACAATATAAGTTTAACAATATTTATTACAAAACATCATAGAAAATACATTAACATCTAATCTGTTTGCAATGAATACTTAAGCTTACAAAAGTAAATTTCATTATTACAGTGGATTTGAATGTATTTATGAATGGGTTCGTCAAGTTTTATCATATACATAATATCATTTGAGCATAATTTTTCAAAAATGTCTTCTTCAATAGATACAGCGTCGATACCTTTAAACAAAAAGTAGTAATCACACTCATATGCTAGAATTTTGTGGATCTCGCCAAGGTGATATTGATTATCGGAATCAAAAGCAAAAAAAGAGTCATTGTTTGGCTTTTCAATGTTTTTAAATTGTTTGACTTTTGGTTTGAAGAGGAAACCATTGTGATTTAAAAATGATATTTCTTCAAAAACAAGTTTATCGTTATATTTATTCACGATACTGTTAGGAAGTGTGAATTTTAAGTTTTTTGATGGGATAACCGTTTTTCCCGTGAAAGTGTTTTCACAAAAATCACGTACCTTAGACTGTATATTCCAGTATTTTTCTAAATGAAACCTCGTGTGTGCCATAGTGCAACGGTTTGCAATCTGTATAAGTGGTTCATTTGGTCCTTTAACGAATTTTTTTAGCATACCATTGATGTCTTCATAGAAAAATAAGGAAAACGCCCATAGAGGCCCAAAGTCTCTACAGCACTCGACTATGTGCATGAGCAAATGGACATTATAGTTCATTTCATCTAAACTGTACAAAACCTCAAAGTCTTTAACGAATTTGTGTAATTTCAGCTCACAAGAATCCAATGTTTCATTGTTTATATTGTTTTGTAATAACTCTGTTATGGAAGTGACCAAAATTCTATAATGTTCATAATATTTAATTGGCAAAAGATGTTTTAAACAAACAGAGCTATAATGCAAAAACCATTGAAGCCATTCATTTGCTTTCCACGAGCACCGTTCAGATATTTTCCGCGCTGATCTGGACGCTTCAGTAAAAGGACTTATAGTGATTAAAGCTTCATCAATGAGCTTTATTTTAGTCTTAATATAGTACGGTGTGTTTGGCTTCTCAAACCAAATTTTGCACAGCTGCTTTACTACGCCTAACAAAACGCCATGCATAAAATCAACAGGACATTGTTTTACAACGTCGAAAGACGGAATTAGTATCAAGGGAGATACACCTTTGACTCCACTTATCGGAATTCCCCTTGAACTGCTGACTGCCATCGCTTTTAGGGTGTCCGTATAGTTACGTAGTTTTACGCCTTCCAGGAACCCATATTTGACTTGACTACCGGAAGCATGATGGCCTGGGTGCAAACAATAGCTACACGCATTATACCCATTGAACTGTTTGAAATTTTGAAGCTTACTTCGTGCTAAGGTATCTACGCAACAAGCAACAGTCCTCACAGATGAAATAAACGTAGTTCCAATATGCAAACCTTCCAGAAACATTGTTTTCAGGGTCAAAAGAAATGGTTTCAAAAACACATCCATATCTGGTTCACTGCAATGCATCCACAACCCTCCGATTAGAGCGTTTTTACGTAGAAAGCGCAAGTGAGGTGGAAGCTCGTTGATTACAGCTATAATAGGCCACAATGAACGCTTGTTGTTGGAATTGAACACTTTTACACCATCGGTATTAAAATTTAGTGAAACGCTGTTCAATGACAATTCCCTTTTTGAAACTGCCGCGTTAACTATATCCGTTATGACTGTCTTTTGTTGAGCTTCTTGGACATATTGTTGAATTTTTAGCCAATTTTTTTTCAATATATCACGCAAATTCGATTTGAAGTCAAACATAATAAAATAGAAGTTCCTCCTACTTTTACAGTTAGTACATGCCATGTGCTCAACACCAATGTAAAGTCTTCAGTCTTCACATACAAAATGTTTTTCGTATTGATTTGCGGAAAAGAAATCATGGAATTTTCTGTACGTTTCCGGTAGAGTTTTGAACCCAATTATTAGATTCAACATTTTGAGGAGATCCACGAGAGCAGCATTCGTAAAGTTATGTCTCATGAATAAATTCATAAGCATAACCATGATCTCAAGTCTGGTAATAGCCAAATTAGGATGTACAGGTGATTGCATATATTCGTTTTCCTTTAATAAGAAAAAAATATGTAATCAATTATCCCAAGTTTCAGTTCAATCTGTCGAACCATCGAAAAATCCTCCTCAACGTCATAATAGCTTGTATTATCACATTCATCGTCGTTAATCTGGTCAGAATCATTTATGGCTTCGTCGTTATCTTGGTCGTTATTTTCTTCCATTCCTTCATCCAGACTTACACTTTTAACTTGGCTTTGTGTATTGTCGTTTTTTATCATTTCACTTGATAATGTTTTTTCCATTGCTACTAGTTCGTCATGAGCGGCTATGTTTCCAAATGTCTCCTCGTTGGATGCATGATGTTCTACGGCGTCCTAAATACATATATATGTTTGTATTTGATAATATCAAGTTATGTGTCGTTTGACTTAGAATTACCGATTTCACAAAATTTGAACACAATACAATATCATCTGTAGCAGGAACTTCATCACAGACAATTGATGCGGGAAGTTGGAGAATATCTGGGGAATCTTTAGAGGATGTCAAGTTCTTCTGCAATCCAAAATTTTCTTTACGTAAGTTGAAAACCAACATGATGTATCATACAATTACCTTTTTTGATCTTTTTGCAACCGGAGCACTTTTATTCAAACCAAAAAGTTTACTCATTCGAGGAGCACGGGAACGCTTCATTTTTTCGATTTAATTTCGACATTAACCAAATCAAAACAAAGCCCGAGTTTTCGTTGCTACAAAATAATATTGATAAACGTTCAAACCATTTACCTTTCTATATAATAAAATTCGAAAACATTGGTCATATATTTTCTCTAACGATACAAAATTTTACACTAACTTTATCGTGAACAGTTACACACGAGGTTACACACTCACAGAAATCAGCCTTGTGATTAGTAAATATTCATACCGTCAAACTTTAAATGAAAGATATTAAATGTGGTTTAACCATACAAACAATACTTTGGATATCCTCGCAGAGCTACCTATTTTACTCAATTTATAGGTAACCCAGTATTAGCGTGTATTGGCTTGAAACATCTTTGCTTTTGCGACGCCATTCCCCATTTTTTGTTCCAGAAGCTCACCGAAAGAGGAAGACTCGCTGCAAGATGCCGCCGAAACCTGCGCCGAAAAAGAAATGTGATCGCGTTAAAAAGCTGAATCAGCGTAAGTATAATTTAATTTCTACTCATTCTACCGGTAACAACACAAGTACTGGACCAAGTATTGAACGAAGACGACCACTTTTTTCTTTTCTCTTACAGGTGAATCGCGTCCAAATTCATCAGAAAATGTGGATCCAAATGCTCGTTCAGCGCATTCGCTGAATTCGGTAATGATACAGGAAGAGGTGAGTTGTGAAGATTGTTTACAATGAATATTGATTCTGCAGACACTTTCGAAGCAATCGCGGACCTCTAGATTGTGATTCATTAATTCTCGCTTAAAAATTGAAAAGGGCCAATAATTTGTTTAAGCAAACATTTGTAGGCCAGTTACTCGCTGACTGAAGTACGCCACGCAAACCAACAACATTATCGGGAGGAGTAGAGTTTCTCCTAGGAGCTGTTCACATATTACTTAACACTCTAAGGGGGGAGGGTCTGCCAAACTGTTACGGTCCATACAAGCATTTTAGAGTTCCCATACAAAATTTGTTACGTATGGGGAGAGGGGTCGAAATTTGTTAGCGTTAAGTAATATTTGAACGAGCCCCTACCCGATGATGTCGTTGGTTTGCATGGGCGTACTTCGGTTGGCAAGTGAAGGGCCTACAAATGTTTTTTTACAAAAAAAATGTTGGCCCTTTTCAATTGTTAAGCGAGAGTTGACCTATCCGGATTAGACAAGATTTAATGGTGTTAAACATTTAGTAATACTAATCTGTTTTCTTTCTTTTCAGCTGAAAAAGCTTCTCGCTAGTCAAGGAGAGCATCTTACCCAGGCGGGATACACTTTTGTTTCGGCAAAATGATCCCCAAATCAACGATTCCCCAGATCCAGAATCGCAAGATCCGCTTGCTTCATCTACGATGGCGTTTGAGGATGAGCAGCAGTTGGATGACATTCACGAAGAAGAGGATAACCATGTTAATCTGAAGGACGATACGCAAAAACAAATCCCAGATGTCACAATGCAAGATTCAGCTTTAAATCTGTCCATGCATGCATCGCCAAAAGTAAGCACCAATGCAACGCCGGCGCCTGAAGTCGCTTGCAGAGTGAGCGACCAGGAAGAAATGGAGGTGTTGCTTTTGCAACCTACGCATGACGGTGCAAGTGTTCCTTCACTTGTGGCAGATGCCTTGGCAGGCCCTTCTAGAGCTGTTGTTCCATGTTCTACAAATACCGAAAGATCCCAAATCATATTGGTGAACATTGTGGAACATGATCCTGTCCCGGATGGTGAAGTTTTGACAAACAAATTGTGCGCCACATGCTTGCCACTAGCTGACCAAATGATTCAAGAGGCTAACAAGAAGATTAAGGACACAGCCAAAGAAGTCAAAAGGCTTCGCAAAAGGGCAGAAGAGGCTGAGCGAGCTAAAGTTCAGTCCGACGATCTGGCTCTATCTCTGTCACGAGAGTTACAGGATCTTAAGGAACAACAGAAGATTCCATCAGTAAGTATCGAAATGTAAAAAATTATATCATTATTAAAACTTTTATCCTAAAACATAATTATTATTTATTCCAGATGAGATTCACAACGGAACCGGAAATAGAAATATCTTATGAGAAGATTGTGGAGATCAATGATGAATCGTCAACCGACAGTCTGTTTGTAGCCAATTTGGCTATATTTTTCTTCGGAACCGAAAGGCTGAAACGTATGAGCTGTACCGGCAAACCGACACCACGTTTCATAAATCTACAGAACCCTGATGGTTCGTTGATGTACCCCGCCAGGGAGCAAATCGATCCAAAGATTTTTAAGTTTATTCACGGTAACTTTTGTTTATTATCAATTGTACTTATTGTTTATTATCGATGAAAAACAAATATTTTTTTATTTTCAGAAAAGCTGACCGAACGCGTAGCTCTTCGACTTGGAGTCCATAAGGTGAAGGAAGTATCGTTTGTGGCAAATGAGCATTTCGTTCGAAAATTCATCGCCCAAAAAATAAGCAACATGAATAAGGCCGATGCAAAACGCGTCCAAGATAAACCACAAGAAACTCTTCAATAGAAGCAGCAACTCTCGACTACACCATTGTTATGACCTTACATACTATTCCTTTCACTGCATTACTTTGTTAAAAGCGAAGTAGGGTACAGAAACCCTGATTATTGTTAAGATTCATACTTTTTGCATTTCATACTTTATGCTACTTTAAACTTACGAAAACAAATCTAAAAAGTGCAAAATATTTTGTTCAAACGAGGTTAAGGGTACTGAAACCCACATTACTGTTAAGTTTCGTTCTGTTTTGTTAAATAAAACATCAATTTTTAAAATTATATATATTTTTTTTACTATCCAGAGCTGAGAGAATAAAAAAAAACTTAATAGAACATTACAATGTATGGTTAGACCATTTTATAAAACCATTCATTTACTCTATTATCACTCTTCTCGATATAATTGTTCAACCTCAAAAATAAATTAAAATGAATGGTTCAAAGTTCCTTTTAAAATCACATACGAACATTAAACACAATGGTTATAAGCAGCTCTTTTCAGAATATTGAATGAATGGTTCAAGAAAGGTTCGCTGAAAAAATATGTGTGAAAATTCTTCATTTTCAGTATGGTAATTAAAGGGTGTCCACGATGAAATTGCCACACACCAAATTGATTCGCAAAATTCGAGTTCTCATCCGATTGCGATCAAATTTTCAGGGATTGAGAAATAACTATTAAACTTAATTTTACCATTTTACTGTATTTTATTTACAGTCCATACGCAAATGCCCGCACCTTGGCCTTAACCCCGGCCATAAGATTCTGCACAACCATTGAATCAACCGTTTTTTGCATGTAAACCCATACTTTCTTCAGTTCCTCGACTGTCTTCACTACCTTAGGTCGTTTAAGAAGGTGCTGCTTCATAATCGCCCAGTACTTCTCGATGGGGCGGAGCTCCGGAGTGTTGGGAGGGTTGAACATTTTCGGCACGAAATTGACCTTATTGTCCGCATACCACTTCAGCACGTCCTTGGAGTAGTGGCATGAGGCCAAATCCGGCCAGAAGATTGTTGGGACGTTGTGGGCCTTCAGGAGAGGAAGCAGCCGCTTCTGGAGGCACTCTTTTATGTACACCTGTCCGTTCATCGTGTCCTGGGTCACGAAAGGTGCACTCCGCTTCCCGCACGTGCAGATGGCTTGCCAAACCAGGAATTTCTTCGCAAATTTGGACATCTTCTGAGTGCGGACATGCTCCGGAACGCTGAACTTATCCTTGGCCATGAAAAACAGGTTGCCGGGGATCTGTTTGAAGTCGGCCTTCACATATGTTTCGTCGTCCATGATGCAGCATTCAACTTTCGTCAGCATGTTGAGGTACAACTTCCTGGCACGGGTTTTGGCGGACTTGTTCTGCTTCTCGTCGCGATTAGAGGCCTTTTGTACCTTGAACGTTCGAAGCCCAGCCTTAGTTTTGGCCTTCTGGACAAAACTTCGGCTTAGGTGCAGCTTCTTAGCCACATCCCTAACGGAGGCGTTCGGATTTCGGTTGAAGGCCCCAACTACGCGGTTGTGATTTTTGGTGTTGTACGGAATACTTTTTCCTTCATTTCTGGGCTTCCGATCGGTGGTCAACCGTTCCTCGAACCGCTTAATCAATCGCGACACCGTGGAATTCGCGATTCCCAACGTTTTAGCGATGGAACGATGCGAGAGATCCTTGTTCTCGTGATGAATGCGCAAGATTTTATCACGCACGAGCTGTTCTTTCGACTCCATTTCCGCGAGTTTTGATCACAGGACTTTAAAACTTGCAGGATGTAAATAATGCACTATGAACTAAATCCACCCAAATTTTCATTCAATTCTACCCAACGGTTAAAAAGTTAGAGCAATTTCATAGTGTGGCAATTTCATCGTGGACACCCTTTATACTTAACAGCCTATTGATTTTATGGTTGACTCTCTTAAAACGATTTATGATATGGTTAAAATCATATTATCTATGGTTGAGCTATAGTTTGTAAACCATTGATGATATGGTAAGCTGGTGGAAGATAAACCATTCGTAGTATTGTTCAAGTATGTTTAGATTATATGCGGGTAGTTCTTCCATAATAAGGCTGTCCACGAGACAGTTGCGATCAGGTGACTTTTTTTGTTTACCAAGAACTTTTGACCGATCACAGTAGAACTGGCAGTTTATTCTCATATGAATTTCAGCTTTGTTTGTGTTTACATTCAGCACCGTTAACACCAGATCACTCACACACTCTAGATTTCTAGCTGTCAGTTCCACTGAGAAACGTCTCTTGGATCACCTTATAACCCTGCCGGCCAGTGGGGGTTAATATTCACATGTTTAAAATTGTTTTATTTGCAAAACATGTGAATGTTGTAAGGTAGGGAAAGAAAATGTTTGATGTTTTGACCCAATGTCACCCCCTCGTACGGTACGACGACAAGAGCGCACCGTGTTTGGCCTGGTGTAAATTGTTTCGCAAACAGTAATTTACACAAAACGCATTTTCTTCAGCCATGGTTCGCGAAAGGATGCTCTTATTAAGTTCATAAAACAACGTGCCTGGTTGTCGGTCGCGCATTACCGGAGACGGAAGATGATAAATCATTCCAGGGGAGGGGGTTCCAGGAAACGTAGGTGTGGGACGTCGGTATTATGGAGTACCGCCAAAGTATTTTTTACTCGCATAAACAACAACATCATCGAGTTTGGCGAGTGCGTGTTTCAAAGTTTTCCTTCCACTTGAGAAAAAGATTTTCGGTGCAAAAATTACTCCATCGTCGGTTGTTGGTGCGGAAAATCATTGCAAATAATTTCCCGCCTCATTACCCGCTTACTTATCGCATTTTAATCGCTCGATTTCGCGCGTGTTATTGAAAGTTTGAGTGAAAAATTGTTTGAGTCAAGAATGTGAGTGTAGCTCCACTATCGGTGGGAATTGATAACTGTACCTATTTACTATAGTAAAAGTGACGCATCAATCCTTTTCGGAGAATGGCAAGCACAATGAAAGAGGTTTTTTTTTCATCGCTTTGGGTAGGATAATTGATAACAAACGATGAATGAATGTCAATAATATTGGTACAACTGACTATCAATGTTTTCTATTTGCATTTCTTATCACTGACTTCATCGGATTCATTCGTTTCCAGTTCACAGTTGGCTGTTATTCTTTTTATTTGTATCATTGGAATCGGTTCTTCTATCATAATTTTCCCAGAAATTTTGATTATATCATCAAGGTGAAATATGTTACCAATCGCCATTCGTCGCCACCGCCACCCGCGGCTACGATAGAAATCAAATTGAAAACATTCAACCGTGGTATGATTCTATTATCGCCTGCAGGAAATCAGGAGCAAAAAAACATACCTACCAGTCAGGAAATCTCAGAGGCAACGCATTTAGATATGGTGCTCGTTCGTAGTCAAGTCACCCTCCCGGCTTTGATATCTCAATGCAAGTTGCTCGCACTGCTTTATTCGGTTAAAACGTATACAAACTTCGCTGCAGATAAGAAACGCTTCTAGCTCCCTTCTCTGTTATTACACACTTCATTTGTTTCTCACTTTCACGCGTACTGCTCAATGAAGTGATTACCGTACGATTGTTTGGTGAGTGCGTTCGTTTGAAGGGGGAAGTGTTGCAGAACAAACAATACACACGATATAACTCCCTCGAGGCTCTCATAACAGTCGGTTAAGAGGGATGTTTCGCTTTAGTTCCCGAATTAGGGTGGATGAAGTGAGGCAGAGGGCTTTGCGATAGTAATTTGTTATTTATTTCTCACTTCAGTAGCTAAGTTACGATTT